CAGCCTCCTAAAAACATCTTGATGCTATTATCCACTACAAGCAAAAAACCAGTGTCAATCATAGTGTAAAACTTGTTTTCAGATGCTCCACCTCAGATGCTTTTGAGCTTTTTTCCAACATGCGTTACATTAAAATACAACATTAGCTTAAAAATACATCTAATGTGAGAGATCTGTATGTGCCGCTGGAACATAATGCCACGTGTTTCATTGTGGTAGGTTTTTGCAGTGCAGCGGTACCCCACTGAGACTTCGTCTTATCAATACAACTTCTATATAACACATGTAACACAGCTGTCACAAATCATAACCATGCAGTGCATTGCCTGCTGTCTGTTTAGTCTTCAGTATTCTTCCTAATTGAGCTCCACATTAGCTGGTGGATGTGTTCTTTGGCAACCCTGTTATTCCTAATCACAATCAAATGCTAGGAGTAGAGTATGTGCTGAGAATCAGGTGGTTTCTGCTGAATTATTTAAGCCATGAAGTGCTGATATCAGTGGGTGGGAGCTGCTGTATAGAACCAACTTGCAAAGACCTGGGAGGTTACAGAGAGTTCACCATGAATCTGCCTGCCTCAGTTGTCTCCACATGTTGTCTTTTAGAGCTCATGCAAATATATACACTTAACTGTGATAAATATCAGAACCAAAAAAAAAAAAAAACAGCCAAATACATATAAGACTTCTTTCAGGATTAGGGGTCATATGTCTCCATTGGTTTAAATATTTAATTGTACTCTTTTGTACGTTACACATACACGTCTGCATACACTGCAATTCCCCCACACATGTATGTGGCAGGGGAGTAGAGTTCTAATACTATATGATGTGTTTTATGTTCTCTGTTCTGAAAATCATCTTTTAAAACAACACGCCATTCCCTGCAGCGTTGGTTTTGGTACCATTTCTATTCATTTTTCAAATTTAGCCACTGGATAACCTCGACGCTATACCCCCATCCGAGATAATAATACTTTAGCATAAAATGAATAAAAATTGAAACCAAAGGAGAACTGTTGGACGCCTGGGATTTTGCAATTATTTCTTGAAGTGACCATGAAGCAATGGGGAATCTATCATGACACCCATTGATCAGATTTTCCCTCGAATTTTAAAGCTTTTAATATTTCAGCTAAATCAAATAATTGAGGTACTTTGCAAAGCACTGATGTGGGGAAATTCACACAAGCCAACAATTGCAGAACAGCCATCTTTCTCCTGGTTGGTGGACGGTGTAGTACAACCATTGTACACATTGCTTTCATCTGCAGAAAATTGACCCAAAAAGGATTTTTGCAAACTATACAGAGCACTGAACCTTTGAAACTGAGTAAATTGCATACAGCTAATGTGCTATTCAAGCAGGTCTGAATCACAATGACAGAAAGCACCACATTCACTCCCTGCAACTTTTGCTGCCTCTGAAAATAAAAAGGAGCATTCTGAAGAGCTGCTCTTCTTTGTTGAAGTGAGATGAAATGGCAGGGCTAATAATGGAGAAGGTAGAACCAGTGAGGGTCGGCAACAATGCTGGGAGGAATCGCATGAGAGACAGCCTTAACACTTACAGTCAGATTCCTCTTCTTCTCTTTGAATGCAGAGACATACATACATCCTATTTCTGCACCCATGTATTCCTGTTCAGGGTCAGAGGCCGCTGAAGCATGAGGCTGCATTCGGTGGGTAAATCAACACACACAAACAGAAATATGGGCAATTTAGAGGTTCCAGTTCAACTGATATGAATGTTTTGGGACAGCGGGAGGAGGCCTACACACATACACACACACACACAAAACCCAGAGCTGAGATTCACCAGGACCTTCTTGCTGTGAGATGACAGGATTGACCACTGAACCACCACCATGCCTCCATATAGACAATCTGTAAAAAGCACTCAGATCATTACTTCATCTACAATCTTACATCATGTTTAAAGAGGCTTTTACAAGAGTTGAACCCACTGAAATGAAAAGATCAAAGGAAATCTGTACTTCACTTGTCAAAATGAATAGAAAGGAAGGAACAGAAATTATTCTCAGGGACATGTTTTTGCAGCTTATGTTCTCCCCCTGGTGGCTCATTCATGTAGGGCTCCTCAGCACATAACAACTAAACAGTGGCTATACGGTATAAAGAATAACTAGCCTGACATTTAAGTGGCAAAATTTGAGATGTGACCAGCAATTTAAAAGTCAGGCAATTCTCTGTGCAGGACTGGTTGAGTCCAACAATGTACAGTTGCTTTAATGCAATTGCAACTGCACATAGGTGTTTCATGTCTTTCTGCAAAGTATTTCCACATTATAGTGGCAGTGGCAGAGCTGGTGCCCTGGTCTCTGCAACAGTTGAGGACCATCAGTGTGTCTGTGTGAAACCATGGCGATATGCAGTGTATTAAATCACCATAAAGTTGGAATGTAAGTACACTGGCATTTTTACATGAAGTAATATTTGAAGGCATGGGTGGAGCCAGGTGTGGCCAGGGGTGGCACGGTCCACCCTCAGAATCAGATTGGCCGCCCCTGGCCGCTCCTGCCAGAGTCAAAATGTGATACTTGTCAGTAATAATGAATGAAAAATGAAAAACAATGGACAATTGTTGTCTTAAATACAACTAACTTTATTCTGGGGTTTTATAATTGACATTGGTCAAATTTGTTTTATTTTATATCCCACATGCAGAATGACATTTCTCTGATTGTGTTGCTGTGGAGTATTTGGCATGATTCACCTCAGTGGGGGGGGGGCTACTGTGCAGCAGCAATGTCCCCAGGCAGTGGCAGCTACAGCTTTTAAAATGTGTAGATTTCATTTTACACACAAAGTATATGAGCCACTCATGAAATATAATGCATTGTTATGGACTAGGCCTTGCTCTACCTCAGTGAGCTGAGCAAAGATAACAAACTCCAACATTATAATATGTACATATTATAAAATAAGACTCTGAAAAGGGTCAATTTGCATGAATATTTTCATACTAGTACATTACATTACCATGCTCTGTGAAGGATTTGAAATGTCTTTACATTGCTGCCATCTGGTGGTGGTATCAAACATGACATCGTCATATGCTGTTGTGACTGTTTCAAACTTAGTCATTAGAAAAGCAAAACGTTTAAAAGCAGCGCTTTTCCAGTATTTGCAATAAATTATGCTTACATTGTGGTTTGATTCTGACTGACAGCACCTTAATATATTACAAAACATATCAGTAAGAAATTTCTCCACAGGGATTAATAAAGTGGAAAACCTTTAAAAAATAAAAACAAAAATCAAATATATCAGACTTGTCCAAGATAGAACAGTAATGCTCTGGACTTATTTCCATTATAAAACCTAGTGATGGTCTTTTCAGTGCCTACGTTAAGAAAAAAAGGGGGGGGGGGGTCATAAATTGTAAAATATATCGGTTCCTTT